AAAAAAATTCTTCATGTTTCACTCCACCCTAGTGTACATAGTACTACTTTTGTGATAGAGTTTTTGCATAAAAATAATATAATTGCAACCTTCCCAAACGTAGAAATACCACTAAGAATCTTCTTATCGTTGATGGTTACTAACGCAACTGGTGAAAGATCAGTTTTCACTTTAAAACGGGTCAAAAATAATTTGAAAAATAAGATGACGGAAGAAACATTAAATTCGTTCGCTGTTTGAAATGTTAATAATGATCTGCTTACAAAATTGGATTTTAATAAAAACATCAACGTCTTTGCAAGTAGGAAGTCCAGGAAAATTTATTTATAAATAATTATGTTAATTTACTTCATACGTTATGAGTTTTTGTCTTTGTGGCTTTTTTGTATATTTGTAATAAATTACCTAATGATATTAAAATAGTTTTAATGAATTGTTTACCTAAGACGCATCTATAACTACTGGAGAGTGGCGGTATAGTAGGGGAAAGGAGGGCAAGATGACGATAGTAAGCTTAAAAAAATCCTAGAACTGATATTTTTCCTTGTATCGAATGCTTGCAACTACAAGGTAATTGGCTGATAGTAGTACTTTACATATTAAAATTAGATTACGTAAGGGTTAATATTTCAAATTAAAATTTTAAAATTTATCTACCTATGTCATATTCGTCATCTTACCCTTCGTGGAGGGTAAGATGACTAATTGTGAAGGGTAAGATGACGAGGTATGCCTATTCTAAGAAAAAAAGTCAGTTATATATATATATATATATTATATATATATATATATATATATATATATAAATAATATAACTCTTAAATATTGGGAAATCTAGTACCAATCACACGTCCATTGTTTTACTTTTGCTTCTTGACTATCCATTCCAGTGCATTCATCGTGAGCCCATTCCCTATACCTGCTGCAGCAATACCATAGCTCATCTTTTCCTCTTTCATTGCAGATTATGCAATCTTTTTCTTCCTCTGAATCGTTATCAGTGTCAGCATATTCCATATCTACTGACGAGTTAGACGAGTCGTCAAATTTTATTTTTCTCTTAGTCTTTTTCCTTTGTCTTTATCGAGAGTGAATTTCCTGTTTTTTGCTGAAAATTAAAGTCTTTGCTTCTATTTCTTTTCCAATTTTCGTCTGTTCTCTTATATCCCTTTTCCTCTCTTTTGCTAATTTGGAGCTTCCTTTTCTTCTAAAATCTTTACTATTGATGTACTGGAAATAACGAGAGATGGTAATTTCTTTCTGGGTCGTTTTGCTCTCACTTCAGCAACAAGTAATTTAGGCAGACCATTATTCAATATATGATTTGATATATGAGGGGGTGTCCGACCAGCTATTCCTGATGTAGATGGAACAGGCATATTTGAAATAGAAATATCTAAAATTTCGTCAGATATTTCAACAGATTCTTGAGGTACTGTTTCTTTTAAAACATATATCGGTCATTCCTTAAATATCTGGCATTTCCTCTTCGACCTTTACATTTTCCAAAGCAGAGGTAGTTGCCAAACTATTGCCAAAGATGCCTCAAAATCAAGTATATCAAACACCTGGCTATCAACAGGATATATGCCAGTGGCTCTAAAACCACTAAGAGTATTTGAAACAGTTGCTGCTTTTAAGTACGCTTTCCCAAATAGGGTTGCAATGTCATACAATGTTATAAGACGACCCGGATTACTGATCAAAAAATCTTCGCAAGCTCGTGAGTATGCTGCAAAAGGATTGTGCAAAGTCTTTACACAAGGATCTACAGACCGAGAATTTAGTATACAAATTCCACGGCTTCGCGCAATCGTACTTGTAAGTTCGTATAGTCGGCTGGAGTTACAATTTGCCAAATTTAAATGTAATCGTTTCTACTCATTCATATTAATATTATAATGTATAATATATTAAAGTTTTTAATATTGGTAATATTATTAAAGCTTTTAATACTATTTTTTAATATTAATATTAATATTAAGTAATTAAATATTGCGCCTTGCTTAAAAAAAGTACGAGATAAATAACTCGTTTTTTACATGAAAGTGTTCTTTACATGAAAGTATCTGTTCGGTCCTGACTGAAGACAGTGTTGCCAGAGTTGTATGTTGGAAAAATATCGGGAATTCGTCATCTTACCCGATTCGTCATCTTACCCCACTTTACCCTATGAGTTAGCCCCCGGAGGTCCATAAACTAAATCCGGCACTGTATACACCCAAGCACTTCAAAGATAATTCAATATAAAAATTGTGATGTAAGTTTTTTGCTCGATGCGCACAGCACAGCCCTCCTTTGATCCTGTACTAAATTTGATATTTATAAACCCCAAACCCTCCATTAACTCAAAGTGAAATAGGTATTGTAAGATGAATCATAATTAATCATAATCCACTTGAAATTTCAGATTAATAGGGTATTCCCAGAATTGTTTCCAGATACCTACACACCCAAGGACTTCAACCAGAGAACATACGAACACAGAGAAGCGACACGAGGCCCGGAATTCGTGTCTCTTTTCTGTATACGCATGACCCAAATAAGGTGCTTTACTGTCAAAAACACGTGCGTTTTCTTCAATTTTAAGTCGCTTACGATAGTCCGTAGGCATCTGTGGTAAACTCTCGACTATACAAGTGCATTTGACCATTTATCTAATTATTTAGTAGTTAAAAGTTTATAGTTATAGTTTATAGTTATAGTTAAAATATATAAGTTAAATATATAAGTTTATAGTTATAGTTTATAGTTAAAAGTTTAATTTATAAGTATTTAAAATGTCTTCTGGTTATTGTTGTGCATTTCGCGGATGTTCATCTGTGACAGGAAAAGGAATAAGTTTATTTAGATTTCCTAAGAATAATAACAGGTAATTACTATTGCTTTGTAATTATTATTAGTTATTACATAATAGAATTAATTTGACTTTGAGTAAGCCGACACCGACGTGTCCGCCCGAGCTCTCGTTAAGTGAAGCAATAAAAAAATAAATTTTGGTTTGCCAAGGGATAGTTCAGAATAAAAACCAGAGAACTACGAACACACATTAAATTTATTGTCTCCGAAGGCTCAGGTCAAAAATCAACACAGATGTTGGCCTACTGGTGTGAAAGCGCTCGCAGACAACAATACGAATATAGTATTTTTAGGAAATAAAAATATATAGAGGGTTTTATACACGAGAATATTTAATTTAAACGAAACAAAGAAATTCCTAAAATACTCAAACTAAAAATTGTTGGAAACATAAGTAGATCGAAAATTGGGAAAATCTTAAAATTATAACAGAACAAGACTTCAAAATAAAAACATGATTGCAAATAAACAAACTTACATTAACATAACTTCAAATATTTGCTGTCTTTTTCACCAAACAAACTTACATTAAATTATGAAAAAACTAAATGCTCATCTACTTTTTGCTATATACAAAAGTTGTCTGTCAATGTTTAATTTGTTAAATATAAATAACAAAGATCAAATATATGGATCGGAGTACACAACATATTTAGGGAATAAATATTTAAATGGGAATTACAAATAAAAAATATTAAAACTTTATTTATTGTATATCTCAATATTTAGTGACAATTTTGAGACTTAATTAGGAGAAAACTGTAAATTTATTAAGATGAGATATTGACAAAAGTTAAATACTTCATTACTTACAATACACTTAGAATATACTAATACTCTTATAGTTGTAAGTAATGAAGTATTATTTATAAATACAAAAAACTCTTTTCTACTAGTCAAACCCTTTCATTTGATACCCATATTGAAGTAGTTGTGAAAAAATAAGTAATCCGCTATTGTGTAGCGGCGTCCATCTTGGATATACAATGATACTGAATGTATGTAGTGTATGTATAGTCGATTCGCTAATCTCAGACACAACTATCTAGTATTTTAGTAATTATTTTATTGCGAAAGTTAGTTACATTTTAACAGACTAGAACTGGATGACAATTACTATATTTACAACCAAGCACATATGCCCATAGCCAATATTAAGAGTAAACTGACATAAATCTTACTCCAATCAATCATTATTTATTTACACCGTTATATAATTCCACAACAGACAACGGAAGATTTGACCAATAATTTAAAGGTAAATGCTCCAAATATACATTTTTACTTCAAGAAGTTAAAGGTTACGGAGTACCAAGCAAACTTTAAAGTTTCATATCCATTGGATTATAAAAATGAAGTTCTCAATCCCAGTATCTGGCCGAAGGTTCAATGGTTCGTCGTTTTGACTTCAAGTATAAGAATTGTACTAACCGCAGTTAACAACAAAACCAGAAATAATTGTTACAAATCCGGCTTAGGCAAACTAGATACTACAAATAATTTTAAAGGCAATACCAATCAACTAAAAATCGTATGTATTAACTCTGAATCTATTGTAAACAAAATAAATTGTATCCAAATATTAGTTTAAACTGAAAGTCTGGATTTACTATGTATATCCGAATCATGTGTAATGACAATAATATAAATTCGTTTTATCTTCCTAATGCTCTCTTGTAATGATTCGTAATACTTTTTTGATTATTTTTTAGGTTATTAGGATAAAGATAATTTATTAGGAAATTCCACGACGAACAAATTATATCTTGTAATTATTTTTTCAGTGCAATATTTCATATTTATTGAAAGTCAACATAAATGCTCAATTTTATTTAAGAATTTATATTGTGTAATATGCCCACTGACTATTAAAAAATAAGGTGCTTTCCTGTCATTTTCACTCGTTGGCGGCTTGCCCACGCAAGATCAAAGGAGTGTCGCTTCTCTGCGTTCGTAGTTCTCTGCTTCAACTTCAAACATAATTTAACATAAAAATGGTGATGATGTAAGTATAGAAAAGTAAATGGTTACAGTACTATCAACTATATATACAATTGCGTCTATATTCTTTGATACAATATTAGCTCTAATTGTTATGAAATTAAACAACTAAATAACAAAGTATTGCGTTATTTACTTACTTTGAATTATATGAACAGATTTGCTTTTTGTCATTTGTAGATGTTGATCTGTAGATTGATCACCCATGTTATTCAATGCCTTTTGCTGAAAATAATAATCAACAATATATGATTGTTTAATTATATCTGGAGTAACATTTTTTAATTTCCTCACTTTTTCATAATGTACAAATCTTATCTACCACATTATCTCTAAATGACTAACAAATTTCATGTTATGAATCATAGATGCAACTCTAATGCATAGTGTGTTAATGTGCATTGAATTAAAAATAAACAATAATAGTTATCGACGACGCGGGAAGCGAGATTACGGTTCCTAGTGCAACTGTGAATGGACTTATTTTGATGGTTAGTGATTGGCTAAAATCTAAAAGTTTGCGTCGGCGCGTTAAGGGTTGCGGTTGACAGTGACAGTTAATAAATATAAATATTTGGGACTTCTTTAATATTGGTGCAATGAACATAACCATGCTGGCATCCAGCTATATGTTTGTGTGACACAGTGTTGCCACTTTTTTTTGTATAAAGTATAGGAGTGTTTAAAATAGAAAGATACTTTGACGAAATTACATATGCTTTAAAAAAACTTATACAGAAGTAAAATGCTTCACATTTGTATTTAGGTATATACTTAGGTAAGTGTAAAGTGTTTTACTTCTGTAAAATGTAAAAATGTACACGCCACAACCACAATTTTTGAATTCATATTAAAAAGCATTCATAAAATAGTATTTTTTATTTTAAATATAGCTAAATACTTTTGTTTAACCTAATTTTTTTTTCATTTAACTTTACTTTATTCTGTAATTTATAAAGTTTCTAAAGTATTAATTTTTAAGCATAATTTTAATGGTTTTTATTATATAAGTATTTTTAAATGTAGAAATGCAAGATATAATTTTATTTTATAATATTTATAGGTATAATTTTAATGAATTATATACCTATGTATAGGTAAAAATGTATATATTTTTCACATTTTTGTTTAATTATATATGTATTTTTCAATTCTACATTTTCATTTCATATAATATAAATCTTGCCAATAATTTTATATGTGAGAGTGGGAAATATTTGAGTATATGGCAACACTGACGTATATTAAGCTTACATTTAACAGAGAACATACGAACACAGAGAAGCGACACGAGGCCCGGAATTCGTGTATCTTTTCTGTATACGCATGACCCAAATAAGGTGCTTTACTGTCAAAAACACGTGCGTTTTCTTCAACTTTAAGTTGCTTACGATAGTCCGTAGGCATCTGTGGTAAACTCTCGACTATACAAGTGCATTTGACCATTTATCTAATTATTTAGTAGTTAAAAGTTTATAGTTATAGTTTATAGTTAAAATATATAAGTTAAATATATAAGTTTATAGTTATAGTTTATAGTTAAAAGTTTAATTTATAAGTATTTAAAATGTCTTCTGGTTATTGTTGTGCGTTTCGCGGATGTTCATCTGTGACAGGAAAAGGAATAAGTTTATTTAGATTTCCTAAGAATAATAACAGGTAATTACTATTGCTTTGTAATTATTATTAGTTATTACATAATAGTATTAATTTGACTTTGAGTAAGCCGACACCGACGTGTCCGCCCGAGCTCTCGTTAAGTGAAGCAATAAAAAAATAAATTTTGGTTTGCCAAGGGATAGTTCAGAATAAAAACCAGAGAACTACGAACACACATTAAATTTATTGTCTCCGAAGGCTCAGGTCAAAAAATCAACACAGATGTTGGCCTACTGGTGTGAAAGCGCTCGCAGACAACAATACGAATATAGTATTTTTAGGAAATAAAAATATATAGAGGGTTTTATACACGAGAATATTTGATTTAAACGAAACAAAGAAATTCCTAAAATGCTCAAACTAAAAATTGTTGGAAACATAATTAGATCGAAAATTGGGAAAATCTTAAAATTATAACAGAACAAGACTTCAAAATAAAAACATGATTGCAAATAAACAAACTTACATTAACATAACTTCAAATATTTGCTGTCTTTTTCACCAAACAAACTTACATTAAATTATGAAAAAACTAAATGCTCATCTACTTTTTGCTATATACAAAAGTTGTCTGTCAATGTTTAATTCGTTAAATATAAATAACAAAGATCAAATATATGGATCGGAGTACACAACATATTTAGGGAATAAATATTTAAATGGGAATTACAAATAAAAAATATTAAAACTTTATTTATTGTATATCTCAATATTTAGTGACAATTTTGAGACTTAATTAGGAGAAAACTGTAAATTTATTAAGATGAGATATTGACAAAAGTTAAATACTTCATTACTTACAATACACTTAGAATATACTAATACTCTTATAGTTGTAAGTAATGAAGTATTATTTATAAATACAAAAAATTCTTTGTTTAAAATTTGTTCTGTTAAAAATTTGTAGTGCCAAAATGTAGGATAGAAGCTTGCAGACGAGAAGATTTATTGTTAAAAATGGATATACTTTATAATAGTTATAGGATTTGTGAACTACATTGTATGAAGATAATCTTATTGTCAAAAAAAAAATAAAAGAAAAACATTGGTGCATGACGCAGTACCTTCCAAATTTCAATATAATACGATAAACACAATTGGGAAATATTAAAATTACAACAGAACAAGATTTCAAAATAAAAACATGATTGCAAATAAACAAACTTACATTAACATAACTTCAAATATTTGCTGTCTTTTTCACCAAACAAACTTACATTAAATTATGAAAAAACTAAATACTCATCTACTTTTGCTATATACAAAAGTTGTCTGTCAATGTTTAATTCGTTAAATATAAATAACAAAGATCAAATATATGGATCGGAGTACACAACATATTTCGGGAATAAATATTTAAATGGGAATTACAAATAAAAAATATTAAAACTTTATTTGTTGTATATCTCAATATTTATGTATTTGCAACCTTTTGTAAATCAAAAATAATTACACCATTTAGAATGTCAACAAAAGCCGGCCCTGCATGTAATTATTTTTTCAGTGCAATATTTCATATTTATTGAAAGTCAACATAAATGCTCAATTTTATTTAAGAATTTATATTGTGTAATATGCCCACTGACTATTAAAAAATAAGGTGCTTTCCTGTCATTTTCACTCGTTGGCGGCTTGCCCACGCAAGATCAAAGGAGTGTCGCTTCTCTGCGTTCGTAGTTCTCTGCATTTAACGTCAAACATATCAACGAGGTTATGTTCATTGCACCAATATTGAAGAAGTCCAATATTTGTTTTTGATTTCTTATTATTCAAAATAAAAAATCCCATAATCTCTTCTTAGATCTGCTAAATAACTTGTGTTTTAAAATTTAGCAATTGCAAAACGGTAGATCTTATTAAGTTTGAAATTAATGTGCCAGAAGCATACAAGGCTGAGGTATGAATGTGTTTTATTAAAACTAATTTTGATCTTATTAAACTGATCTATTTTATTTTAGTTATTAAGATTAGTTCCCCAAGTCCTTACAAGAGTTATTGAATATGATGACCCAAAAACCAAAATGACCATACATACAACAGAAAAAGGCGTTTAACTGCTAGTGACATTCCAGTCCCTCAGAAGAAAGGTGTCCCACATTTGTTAACATTATGTGTAGATCACAATATAAGTTTAGGTAAAAATCATTAAATTGTTTATATATTATATGTTGATAAATAAATAAATAGATATTAATTGATATGTTTTATTGTTTATATTTAAAATAAAACTATCAACCCTTATATTTTCCAGAGAATAAGAGGAATACACTTATTTTATTATTTTAATGGGAAATAAAGCCACAATTTAACGAAAAAATGAATTTATTGGCGTTTCAACATCCACATCGGATGTCGTTTTCAAAATGACAATATTAATTAATAGGTAATATGTCAATAAATTTATTTTTGTAGTTAAATTGTGGCATTATTTCCCATTAAAATAATAAATTATATAAATGCCACAAACAAATAGCTTCCGAATAATATTAATACACTTATTTACTGTATATACTAAAAATATATACTAAAGATAATAGTATAAACAATAGTGTACTCAAAAGATTCTACTATCTGAGATGTTATATTTTATAGGAACTCAATAGAGCTATTTCGCTAAGAGATTTTTAAAAATATATGTTAAATAAGAACTGGTTACATAAGTGCTGTGGCAATATATTAAAGTAACTATTAATTAAATATAAGAATTGATTATAACCTCGACAGACTTGTTTAGAAGATTTCAACGCAATTGTTTTTTCCAGATTTAGGTATACAGTTTTCCTATTAATAATACAATAAAAAGTGTAATAGATGGAGATAATCTATTTTATTTGAACATATACAATATTTTGTAGGATTCTTATTTAAAGCTCAAAATTTTGTTTTTCATTAAATGGTATGCATTTATTATTAATGTAATGTTATTTAAAAGTAAATTTCTTATTTCTATTTTTCAATGTGCAGTTACAAAAATTATTATTCATGTTTATAAAATGATAACATACTACATTAGTGTCTAAACTACTCAAAAATAACAAAAAACATCTCTATAAGTAGTCGGTTATGTGTTTACAAGAACTTACAATAATTTTTTACATATTCCGCTACTTTCTCAACCAATTACAACTCATCAAAATAAGTATATTCACAGTTGCACTAGGATCCCTCGCACGCGGGAAAACATTGGAAAATAATTATGTCAATTCAAAAACTTCGATCATCTTCTGTTACTCAATCTGATTTGTGGTATAATAGCACGAATATGCAGCCACATTGCCATTTTGATTGGTTTTCACTTCCACAGAGTTCAGTAAGTCATGTACTTCCAGCACGCTCTTCGAAATTTTGGGAATAACTTGTTTTTTGCCATTATAAATATTTTTCTAATTAAATGTAGGTAGGGAAATTAAATCTTCTACAGTAAGAGTTTCATTACCAGTTCAGTGCTAACTTCAATGAATTTTCACACAATTCGTCATTGTCTTTCGCTTAACACCATTACTTAATTTTTGCCGATTTAATAATGTTTTTGATATACGTTCATGGTTTTGGTTATCATTACATTCAACTACACTGTTACAAATATTTAGAGTTTTAACAAATGCTTTGCAACTTCTTGCCAACTGTAATTGTTAATAACTATCATAGTCTTGCCCTTTTTGCTTAACATTTTACTCATTGTAAATTTTTCCATGGTGGGCTAAATACATTCAAGTCGTAACAAAAGGATTAATATTGAGATTCGCACCACCCCTGTTTCTTATG